TTCTTGTTTTTCTGTGCTGCTTCGCCCATGACTATAACATTTGGCTCGCAAGTCCGATTTTAAGGAAGTGGGGGTGGTGGTGGAAGTGACGTATATGCCGTAAAGCAGTCGAATTTTGTAGTTCTCTTTGTTCGCCGGTTACTACCCGAAACCCGAAGTTTAAAAGTACGATTAAAAACGCTACAGACCCCGTCAGGCTATGGCAGACGTGTCATTCAACCTATTGTAAGTCGATGTACCATCACAAGAGACTTGGAAATATATTATGAAGGTTGAAAAGTTACCTGTTGTTACTTTAAGACCAAACACAAGCATAAATGTGTTGCTTTAATACATATGTACAATTTGAATTAAACAAAATTGTATGGACAAAAGTGGATAAATTACATTTGATACAATTAGGTTACTGTAAATGAGGGGGAAAAACACAACATTATTTTACGGAATATGATAAGCCACTAATTTGATGTTCTAAAAAAGATATTTACAAACATACATACTGGCCTTAATACCAAACATTTGAACAGTAGTAGGCTACACACCTTGCAATCAAAACATTCAAAATAATATTGTTACATTATTTTGAATGTTTTGATTGCAAGGTGTGTAGCCTACTACTGTTCAAATGTTTGGTATTAAGGCCAGTATGTATGTTTGTAAATATCTTTTTTAGAACATCAAATTAGTGGCTTATCATATTCCGTAAAATAATGTTGTGTTTTTCCCCCTCATTTACAGTAACCTAATTGTATCAAATGTAATTTATCCACTTTTGTCCATACAATTTTGTTTAATTCAAATTGTACATATGTATTAAAGCAACACATTTATGCTTGTGTTTGGTCTTAATGATTTGGCTTATTTAAATGAACAAGATTTTAAGAACAATCACACCAGGATATATTATAGCTATATATATTTTTTTAAAGTGTTAGCCAACGGAACGGATACATTTATGAGGGTTTATTTAATTTATTGCAATCAACAAATGATAACAATTAGTAAAAGCCACATTTTAAAAGCTTCGCAAGGTGCAATTTATACGACGAGTTGAAGTTTGCTGTACTTTATGCCTACACGAAGTGAATGCCAGCAATCATTCAGTCAGTGACGAATAAATAAAAACATGAACTTAACGAAACGATACAAAATTGCAGTTTAAGTTCGCGCTGAAACTATATTTACCTTTTTTGAAATAATCCATTAAACCTGCTGAGAAACGAGGAGCGTGAACTAGAATGAGCAGTTGCACGCGCATGCCCGGGAAACTCATGAATATTAATGTAGGCTCCGCCCACTGCCTCTACAGATGCACAACTCACTTTTGCCATAGACAGTAAAAGAAATGGACAGAGTGATCTCATTGGAACTCAGTTGAGACAGTTGAAGCCCACTTTTAGCGATTTTTGAGAACTTCCGTTCCTGACGCGCAGACTCAGACCGACTCAAACTAAGCTTGATGACGTGAGCAACCTGTCTGACAGACGTTAATCTTCTAGTAGCTGTGCGTGAAAACTGCCAACGTTAATCTTGCAGAGACGGGGAACTTGAGCAAAGAGTTCTTTGGCGTGAGTGAGCAGGAGTAAGAATTCCGTTGCTTTTATGGACTCATTATCTATGGGCTTCTCCCTTGACGGGACGTCCCCCCGATTGCCTGCGAGCTTCTCCTCCTGTCTGTACGGTAACTTCTGTACAGCGCGACAGAGAGTCGAGTGGTTATGACGCAATCGTTAGCCTATTTTTACTAAATCTGTTTCTACGGGGCCATAGTGTAACATATAAGGTAATGGAGCCCTTTATACATTGTCGTGTTTCTTTAGAAATAAATAATGGACAAATGGAGTCTTTAAACGCCTCAGATGTAAAGTTATTCGCTGTCAAAGTGACGCAAAAATGAATGGGAGTCAATGGAAATGCTAACGCAAGTGAAGTTCTGCTACAACATGGCGGCACCCGGCCGGCTTCAACTTCCGGTCGATGGATTACCCCCTTGACTTTTGCCCCACATTTCACTGTGCACTTGGTGCAAAAGGCGGAGCGTACGAAACTTGTCACTTGAAAGTGAAAAACAGAGCTTGTGATTCGTCGCAGCAGATTCAAGCAGCTGTAGTTATGTACTTGTGTTTGTGCTAGAAAAATATACAAGACCTTTGTGAGAAAAGATTCTACAAGTGTGCAACTCTCATTGGATGAATTCACATACTGATTTGCAGATGAGCAAAAGTTCTCTGTGACTTCACATTTTTTGATGCGGGTGTGTAAATGCGTTTTGCACCATATTCACTGCAGCAACTGTAGCAAAAATGTGAGCGTACGAGTTTCTTAATTTGTGATTTGTAGAATAGGATTTGTGCTCCTGCAATGAAGAATTTGAGAAGGTGTAACTGTTGTGTTGTGTTTGTGGAAGATAAAAAAAAGTCTACAAGTGTGCAAGTCTTAAAAAAATTATCTCTGTGACTTCACATTTACTGATACACATGTGTGGCTATTCTCTACAACTACAAATTCCACTGTCACATGCGTTCAGTTGTTTTGCACCAAAAATACCTTCATACGAAACAGTCGTTCCGAAGCTTTGCGAGATCCCGAAGCGCTGATGTTTCGAAACACTGATTCGAAGCGTGATTCAAAACACCCATGTCACGTGACTATGGCCAAACGAAGCCTCGAAATGTTTCACTAAGTGTTTCATCAGGTGTGATCCGCCGAATCAGCGTTTGATTGACACGGTCGGAAACAGACCACACAATTGCACATCTGTATAAAAGTGAAATCAACGCATATTGACCTCGTGGATTTTTGTGAGAGGAGTTTGATTTTGAGATAGCGGATTTTGGTGATATAGTGCGATTTGTTTAGTTATATTTAGGCTTACATTTAAATTTACACAACACATTGACTGATAGGCTAGAGACACAGAGTAGGCTATACATATAGTGACACATTAATAGATACATAGATATAAATATATATAGACAGCTAGATTAATAGATAGATAGATACATAGATAGACTAAAGATAGGCTACATATATAAATACATAGATAGATTATAGATACATATCTAAATACATAGATTAGAGATACATATTATATATACATATCTAAATACATAGATAGATTGTAGATACATATAGGGCCTATCTAATTACATAGATAGATTAGAGATACATATCTAGATAGATTTGGATAGATAGATAAAATGGAGGCTCCCCAGAAGAGATGCCGTACATCTGTGGTGTGGGAGCATTTCCATTTAGAAACCCCAAATAAAGTGAGATGTGTGTATTGTGATGGGCAGCTCGCCTACTGCAACAATACATCATCCATGATGCGCCATTTGAGGAGCACTCATCCTGCCATTTTGCAGGGAGCAGAGGATGGCATTCCCCCTGTTCCTAGGCCTGCTACTGACACTGCTGGGCCATCTAAGCAAGGTATGCATTGTTTGAAATATAATTATAATTGAAATATAATCACAAACTTTTGGGACCAATCACAACTGCCAATCATGTTAAAAATAGCTTCAATGTGAATATAGTATAATATAATATTGTGTGAATATACATTTTATAGATCTACATATGAGTACCCAATATACTGCCAGTGACGACATAATTTTGGTTTTCGTAATTGTTGTAGTTCTACATTCCATTACATTTTTCTCTGCACACTGAGCATAAACGTTCATAACCTAAATTTGTTTAGCAAGGTTTCCAAATAATGAACCAGTATGCTACTTTTAATAGCTGTGCACTATTTGAAGCTGTATTTTTTCAATGTATTTGTCTGAAAGTATGTTTTATCTTCTCTTTTAAAAGGCAGACAGAGGGAATTGGATGAGGCTCTTCTAAACATGGTGGTGAAGGATCTGCAGCCCTTCACCATTGTGGAGGATGAGGGACATTCAACATCACCATCAACACCAGTAGAAACACCAGGACAGTTTATGAGAACTTTTTGATACTCGTATCCATCAAACCCAGATGATACACAATGCTACAGCTGATGCCACAGTGGAAGTGAAAAAATACATCAACGATGCGTATTTGCCCAGAACTCATGATCCACTAACTTACTGGAAAGAGAGAGCTGTAATCTTTCCTCATTTGTATGTCCTAGCTAAAAAATATCTTTGCATGCCAGCAACAAGTGTCCCTTGTGAGAGGATTTTTTCAAAGGCTGGAGAAATTATCTGTAAAAAAAAAAGTAGGCTAAGTCTTTCCACAGCAGAGAAATTAATATTTTTGAATAAAAATATGTAAAAAAGTGAGACATTGTGGCTTGATTTCTTTTATTAATATTCATTTTGCAGGACCAAAATAACATTATGCACAGTGAGGAGCCTATAGGTTACAAGCTTCACATATTAGAAAAGTACAATAATAAAAAAAACACATTTTCATGGCTCATCAAGGTTGTTTCAGATCAACACCTGCAAGTAACCACTAGGTGTCACAGTGGAGACGGGTGTCGAATTTATTCGAAGCCTCGAAACATTATGGACCATTTGGTTCAACTGTTTCATTGCTTCACGAAGCCTCGATCTGCCCATCACTAATTATATATATATATATATATATATATATATATATATAAAGCACACACATATATTCTGGCCTCGCCACTGGTTCACTGACATAACGGAAAAATAAAAAAAGGATAGACAGTGTGAACCCGGCGTAAACATACAATTTGTCAAGTCCGACCTAACAACTCAAAATATACAGTAAATCAATATTCTAAGCTTACCTTAGAGAATTGGGGCAAAACACAGTTTTTAACACAGAGTTTCCATGTATTTACTCAATACAATTTTGTTCATTTTTACCTGAATCTTTCATGGTATACTCTTAACCAAAAATTATGACTTGAAAAATATTATAATTAAAATAATTGTGAATACACTGTTTATACTGACATGACCTTTGTGTTTTAAAAGGAGTTTGAATCATATTATAGAAATTACAATTTGGTGGGCTCCATTTGCTTTCTGGTTTAGGTCATCATAGCCCTGTCGGAGAAGAATAGGTCCCACATCCCCTACCGCAACTCCATGATGACCTCTGTGCTTAGAGACAGTTTGGGTGGTAACTGCATGACCACCATGATCGCTACTGTGTCTGTGGAGATGAGGAACATTGCTGTACATCTCTTAACCTAATTTTTTTTTTTTTTTTTTTTTTAAATACATGAAAGCAATTTTTTTTTTTTTTATCTTCACATCACTCATTAACATCATTCCCCTCCTACCCTCCCTCCTCCTCTCTCAGGAGTCTATGTCCACCTGTCGTTTTGCTCAGAGAGTGGCTTTGATTAAGAATGATGCTTTGCTTAATGAAGAACTGGATCCTGCTCTGGTGAGTCTTACATTATCTTTTGACCTTATTTTATTTCTTTAAAGGTAGTGTAAATTTACACGTTAGAGTATTTTCTTGTATCCCAGTATAATAGGGCAGAGGTAAATATAAATAAGACTTTCGTAGGTTGAAACCTTATTGTGTTTGTACTGATATTCCTCTTCTCCTTTTTTTTCTGCCATAAAAGTGTATGGGTGTTGAGGTGCAGTCACATTTACCATTGTTCTCCAAAATGCTGCGGGCAAATTCCAGTCACTTCAATAGGAATCCACAGGAGAGTTGCAAAAAGAGAAAAAACAGATTTGAGCAAGCAAAATCTTTCTCTCTATCTGTTTGTTTTTTGATAGTGTAGCGGGGCTGGTGCACAGGGGGGGTCAAAAGTTACACTTTATGTACGAAATTAGAGAGCAGACTACGCCACCCCGTTACGTGAACGGGGAAATGTCTAAGACACACAGGTTCGCTACCACAGAGAACAAGAGACCTGGATCTGAATACAAAAAACTTTATTTTCTCAACAATAATTATCTTAAATATCTAAAAAACACTGTTGACTCAGGGGGCACGGGTTTACACCACTTCGGTGTGCACCAGATCAAAAATAAAGAAAAACAAAAACACTTTCAGGCTGAGGCTTACCAGTAGGGCAGCTAGCTGGGCAGTGAGTATCCTAAGACCACACCACTCACCAAATTCTACTCACACAAACACTCTCACTCTCATACTTGCTAAGTGAAGGAACGCAGGTGCCAACGGCAAAACACTCGGTGAAGGAAACACCACCACCAAAAAGGGCAAGCTTCCCTGCACCGGGGGCCTTCAGCTCCTGAAAGAAACAAAAAAAACAATATACAGTATTTCACAATTAGCCACAGACACATGTATCAAGTTATAGAAGAACAATTCAACCTATACAAGGAAGGTCAAAAACGGCCAATTACTGGCCACAGAAGTTAACCAGGCGGCGTAACCCAACGAGTTTAACGCTACATTACATTGTCATTCAAGCCTGGACACACCGTGGAGCAGCCAACTGCTATAAACAAAAACAGAACAAAACACATTTTGTAAATCAAACAATACAAACGGAAAACTACTGTTTGGACAGAGTAAACAGATGAAATCACAGGAAACAAATTTTAAAAAAAAACAGTTACCTGCTGGTGGCAATATTACAAAAGGTGGGGCTAATGTACATAATTACTGGCACGTCAAACTTTAAGTGACGGCTCTGAAACTAGCCACTCTTCACCTAAGCCACCAGCATTAGCATAGAGCTACAAATATAGAACAAACAGGAAACGGTCACATCGTAGGTAAAAATGGCTGCAGAACAAACAGTGCAGTCTAACAGCATTGTCTAGGACGCATTTGCCCCGCAGTCCACAGAGACGAACCGCTCACGAGCGGATTGACGCACTAAAAACAAACAAAATTAATGAATGAATTTAAAATCATCCACCTAATAATGTTCAAGTGGTTAGATATACATACCCAGTAGTGGATCGCTAGACCCACAAAATATTCAGGTGACTCACAGCTTCGTTCACCATAGGCAAACCACAAATGCACAGGTGTTCCATCGAATCACACACCTCAGCTGTAGTAAAAGACAGCCTGCACCCAAAAGCAAGGTCGCACCGATCCCAGCCATAACCTGGCTAAAACAAATACATCCCCACTTTAAAAGTACATGTGCAACGAGCAGCAACATTAGCCAAACAGCTAGGTACATACCTCCCGCAGAGCTGCGCGCGCACCCAACACAGAAGCGATCGTAACAATGACGCATACCCAGGTGGCCTGAACTCCACCTTAAATAGGCCAGGTACGGCTGCCAATAGGCTGTCACATACATCACTCACGTGACAACCACAAATAATAGGGCGGGGTCAAACCCACCCTGCCACATCAGGAAGACCAACTGTATCTAAAATTTCAAAATTAAAAATGCAAGTTAATTCTTCTAAATCTCTCATAGGTTTTAATTCATTCCAAGGAAGAATTGGAAGATGTTTTCACTTTTCTCCAAGCAAATACAAGCATTTAACTTTACTTAAAAGATCTGTCAATATTTACTCACTCTCATGTCGCTCCAAAACTTCAAACTTTCAAACAAAAGCATACAAAGACTAAAATTCAAAAAGAACACAAAAGCATCATAAGTATATTCCAGTCATAGAAATAGCTCAGTCATTAGCCACGGTTTATCCAATCGTATCCCCTTTTCCTTTATCCTCTTAATCACAAACTCATAAATTGTCAAGTTTAAACTGGAAACATCTCCAGGGTCAGATATGCTGGTTATTAATCTCAAGCATGACAATTTACATAATTTGACTCTGATTGGATAGACCCACTGCCATGATTTAAATAGTGGTCAAATCAAGGGACTCTACTAAATATATGTAATAATTAGTTATAATCAATAGTGAAACTTCTTGCTAGTATTTTTCAAATTAATCTAACTTTTATCTGGTGCATTTACTTGTGCTGCTGCCAGAATATATCATGCATAATTTTAGAAACAAGTGCTGAATTCGAACCAATTTCGAAAAATTTAACCACATACTAGTATACTACTTTTACTATTTCTGACATAGAACAATATGGTAAAAATAGTAAGAGTAACATGATAGTATGTATGATAGTAATGTCAAGTCAAGTCTTCATTTATATAGCGCTTTTAACAATATAGATTGTTTCAACACAGCTTTACAGTGATTATAGGAAATTACAGTAACAGAGATTATTTTGGCTTTACATCAGCTCTAGAATAAGGTTATTGTCCAGCTAAAGTAAGTTTTGATTGATTCACTTTTGTTGCAAAGATCATTAGTTATTAACTTAGGGGCCGCTTACATGACACCATTCTAACAGAAAACCCTTAACGCACTCCGGCCCGCTCATTCGCACAACAACAGTGCCTGGTTGCTCGAGAATGCAAACCTTGAAATAGGATCCAAGGTGCAAGCCTTGAAATTTTTTGAAAAAAGTTATCACAAAGTTACTTCACAACGCGAATCTGTGGAAACGCTGACGTGCACATGTGTATTACGTGTTTAGTTTATAGTTATGCGGGTTTGAATATGTGTGCAGGCGTGTAGTCTTTCTTTACAAATTGACCTCAACAAATTACTTGTCTGGCCTTAAAAATCTATAATACGGAATTTTTGAAGAATTTGTAGCCATGTGAACTGGAATTATTTTGACAACGTTTTATTTAATGTCTGACTCGCCCGCTATTTATGCTGCTGAAATGTTTATGTTTGTCTGGAAGCTGATTGTCCGTTTGAAGAAGGAGATTGAGTCTTTGAAGGAAGAGCTGGCTCTAGTGACTGGAGAACAAAGAAGTGACAAGTTAAACCAAGAAGAGATCCAGAAGTATGTAATTCCTCAATAATCTGTTAAAACATAAACTAATAATGAATTGAGATTACTGATGGCACTGTTTATGTGCATGCGAGATAATAGATCAGACTGAACGATTTGTTCACGATTTGGATTAATTGAGTCTCAGCAGTTAACAGCACACTGAAATAACTGAAATATTTTCTATAAATGCAGAAGACTAAATAATTAACTTGACTTGACTAGTTGTTATGGTTGCTGGAAAGAGGAAAGGAGTTGAGCTATGGATCTAATCGCACGGAACAGAAAATGCTAGAACAATGAGCAACCACAAACCGATACAGTTTGGCAGCAAAACAGTAGTTGCTTTTACATTTTCTTCAATTTTGCTACATCGCTGGATATACTCAAGCCACACAGCCAATGGTAGTTGTTGCTCATGCCACCTTAAACGGCCAATTCACATTGAAAATTAATGAATTCATATTATTTTGTTGTTGCAGTTTGCTTTCTTGTATGTGTTAATGCATTTTAGTGTTTTACAGTAGGAGGCATGATTATTTTTCCTGTGTTGTAGGTTGGAAGAGCAGGTAAATGTGTATCTGGAAGACCCTGACAATGAAGTAACATTAGACCTGGGGCCTGATATGAGGAAAATCCACTTTTGTTTCTTTCTGCTAAAGGTACGAGCTCTTTCTGATTAGTGTGTGTGTGTGTGTTCTCTCCCTAGTCTTCCAGTCTTTCCTCAACATTATTATTTAATATCGGCTTTTTACCATGGTGGTAGTTGAACAAGGGTTACAGGATTAGTTTTGAGTTGACAAAACCAATCCAATCAGGCTTTGTTGGTACCACAATGCTGATCATCAACTTTCTTTGTCAACTCCAACTCCTCTTTGTCAACTTCATGCCTAAGTCATACAAAATTATTATATATAATCATTGCTAAAAGCCAGACGATTTGGTCTTTAAAAAACATTTGCTATTGTCAAGTCACCTTTATTTATATAGCGCTTTTTACAAAATAGATTGTTTCAAAGCATCTTTACAGTGATAACAGGAAAATAATGCAACAAAGTTTGTTTCTAGAAGAAAATAGCTTCATAGTCATTCATATTTCTGAGGTCAATCATCCACTGTATACATCATACACTGTTCGTTGGCCAGAGGACAACTTTTGAGAGCTTTTGTAAATAAGAAAATAAATCTCTTTTTTGGCTTATTTTATCTGTAAAAGAAACCGTGCCTAATAATTATGCACACCTGAATACAAGGCGTTATTCATTTTCAGCCTTCATGAACAATTATATATCACTTAAAAATGATTAAATACAAAATTAATAGTAGTTAATTAATTAGTTAATTAAGATTAATGTGGTTTGGAATACTTTTTTTTTTTAATATGATCAGAAAATCAACGTGCCTAATAATTGCAAAATGTATAATATTGTTGTAGTGATCATCTTGTCTGTGTACACACTGTTTTATAAACAGGGAAGATTTTAAAACATTAATCTCAGTTCAATATTGCATGTCCCCATAATTATTTCTGTGGTAAAAACAATTATGAAAATCAAGCTCAAATGGAGGTACAAGGTTTTTGATTAGTGAATGAGAGATAGCTGTGTTTTGTCTGTCACTGGAAAAGCCGCAATTGAGACAGTAAGTCAGTGTATTGCATTACGATCAACTTACAGTTTATAATGTTTATCCTAGCAATATGGGCACTCGGTTTTTCTTGTTGTTGAAAACATTTGGCCAAAATCTCATAATATAAAAAATTAAGCACTATGCACAGGATATTGAAAACAGTATATTGGCTAGAACTAAATGGCAAATACCAGACTAAGACACTTCTCCGCTCTTCAAATACAAAAATATTAGCCTTTATAGACAGTGTTTATTAAGTAAAGGACGAGAGCGGACACTGGGCGGAGCTCTGGGACGAGAGCGGTCACTGGGCGGGGCTCTGGGACGAGAGCGGTCACTGGGCGGAGCTCTGGGACAGGAGCAGGCTCTGGGCGGAGCTCTGGGACGAGAGCGGACACTGGGCGGAGCTCTGGGACGAGAGCGGACACTGGGCGGAGCTCTGGGACGAGAGCGGTCACTGGGCGGAGCTCTGGGACAGGAGCAGGCTCTGGGCGGAGCTCTGGGACGAGAGCGGACACTGGGCGGAGCTCTGGGACGAGAGTGGTCACTGGGTGGAGCTCTGGGACAGGAGCGGACACTGGGCGGAGCTCTGGGACGAGAGCGGACACTGGGCGGAGCTCTGGGACGAAAGCGGTCACTGGGCGGAGCTCTGGGACGAGAGCGGTCACTGGGCGGAGCTCTGGGACGAGAGCGGTCACTGGGCGGAGCTCTGGGACAGGAGCAGGCTCTGGGCGGAGCTCTGGGACGAGAGCGGACACTGGGCGGAGCTCTGGGACGAGAGCGGACACTGGGCGGAGCTCTGGGATGAGAGCGGACACTGGGCGGAGCTCTGGGACGAGAGCGGACACTGGGCAGAGCTCTGGGACGAGAGCGGACACTGGGCAGAGCTCTGGGACGAGAGCGGACACTGGGCGGAGCTCTGGGACGAGAGCGGACACTGGGCGGAGCTCTGGGATGAGAGCGGACACTGGGCGGAGCTCTGGGACGAGAGCGGACACTGGGCAGAGCTCTGGGACGAGAGCGGACACTGGGCAGAGCTCTGGGACGAGAGCGGACACTGGGCGGAGCTCTAGGACGAGAGCAGTCACTGGACGGAACTCTGGGACTGGGCGGAGCTCTGGGACGAGACCAGACAAACAATAAAAACATTCAACATTTAAAACATTAAAAAATTCCGAATCCGATTATTCCTCTGCAAAGCAGCGTGCAGCTCTTCATTAAGATCTCATGACTGACTGTGATTGTACAGGCGATCGCCTCGCTCAGATAATGTTGCTCAATTAAAATGAAAAATGACACGCATAGTATCATGTAAGTCTAAATAAACTGTTTTAAAGATTGACGTTTATTGTAAGGTTCAAATAAGTTTCATTTCTTGTCTAAACTGCGTCTGGACATTATTTTCTGACAGCCACACGGGGAAACTGGGCTGGGATTTATATGACGTCCACCTGTGAATGCAGACACGATGGCTGGATTGCGTTTACATTACACTGAGATAATATACACCGGATAACATTCCGATCAGAAGCGCGTTTACACTTGTCTTTTCAATGTGTATGTGGACAACATCCGGATACAGGTCACATGTTAATGCCAAGTGTAAATGCAGCCTTAAGGCCCGTTCACACCAAGCACGATAACTATAAAGATAACGATAAAGATAACTATATATGCGTCCACACCAACGACCGATAACGTATCGGTTACCTAACGTAACCTCGGTTCTCTCTAGAAGAGGGAACGAGTATTGCGTAAGTTAGTTTACGGGAAAGATTCATCTTTTCGAGATATTGAAGCCAAAAAATTATCCTTAATTTTGTATTTATTGTCAACGCAGTGCAGCAGCTAGCAGACCTAGAGCAGGCTGTCTAGCGTGCTCATAGGCTGCCCTGCGGGAACTGCAGCAGCCTACCACTGAGCCCGACGTGACGTCACGTCCAATGAAGGGCGCTCGCGCCTTCACAGCATCACAGCCCGCCAGAATGGGTGTGGCTTAGCGTATACAAGCAGGGCTCGGAGGCTATTTCTCTGGTTTTCATCGACTGAAGCGAAAGTCGCTCGTGGCGCGAGCACGGCAGGTTACGCAATACTCGTTCCCTCTTCTAGAGAGAACCGAGGTTACGTTAGGTAACCGATACGTTCTCTTACGAGAGGTTCTCTCGTATTGCGTAAGTTAGCTTACGCTACGGGAACCCTTTGTCAACGCCGTGCGCGCCAAGCATCCACTCATGAGTCCCAGGGCTTCCCGGGGAACCCAGATAAGTGGGAAATAAAGGAGGCCAGCAAAGCGGGCCAGCACTGTACATAAGCACTCATAGGGGATACAGAGCGGCGCCACTGGTCTGGATAAGCATATAGCACATACCCACTGGTGCGGCTCAACCAGAAGAGCCAAAACACGTGAGAGTAGCCTGCGCACGATCATATCAGGACAGAAAGTACATCTCACTTATATAGCCAGAAGTTTAGCCTGCAGAGCGGGAACTTCTAGGTTATAGAACCTGACAAAGGTGGACGGGGATGCCCAGCCCGCCGTCACACATATGTCGTGAATAGAAATTCCGCTGGACCATGCCCACGATGAGGCCATGCCTCTAGTGGAATGAGCCCTGATGCCCAGAGGGCATTGCAGACCTTGTGACACGTAAGCGGCTGCTATAGCGTCCACAATCCATCTGGACAGGCTTTGTTTTGAGGCGGCGAGACCCTTGGTGCGCCCACCAAACGAAACGAATAGCTGCTCCGAGCGCCTGAAAGGGGCGGAGCGCGCAGTGTAAACTCTCAGTGCCCTGACTGGGCATATAGTTGGGGGCCTTAAGCACATTTTCGCGCAAATTCATCTAAAAGCGCCAAATTTGGCACAGATGTAGCACAGGTCATACTGAAATGATTTAGCTAGGGCGCCGGAGACAGCGACCCTCGGGGCCAAGATGGCGGCCAAATCCAATATGGCCGCTGCCTGATAAGGGTTCCGGTTATAACTTTTGAACCACATGAGTTACAAATACAAACTTGATATGTTTTTCAGCTTAATTGATCATGGGAAACACATAGGAATACCCAGTATATCTGGACCCCTTGATCCTCCAATTCCAATATGGCCGCTGTCCAAAAACGCATTTTGGGGTGTAGTATGGGGCCTTACACCCCATTGTTTGCGCAAATTCATCTACAAGCACCAAATTTGGCACAGATGTAGCTGAGGGCATACTGAAATGATTTAGCCAGGGCGCCCGAGCCAATGGTCCCTGAGACCAAGATGGCGGCCAAATCCAATATGGCCGCCGCCTGAAAGGGATTCGGCTATAGCTTTTGAGCCAGATGAGATACAAATACAAACTTGATGTCTATTTTACCTTTTTTGACCAAGAGAAACCCATAGGAATACTTACATTTATGATTGGGTATATCAAGAAGACTGGTAAGACTGAAGCCAAAACGCTTTTTCAGACAGCGGCCATATTGAATTTAGGGAATTTGGGGGAAATTGCTTAAATTCAATATGGCCGCTGTCCGAAAAAGCGTTTTAGCTTCAAATTTTGAATCAAATGCGCTACAAATGAGGATGTGATGTCTATTTTATGTTTATTGACACACAGGAAGTCCATTGGCATATTTATATTTATGCTTGTGTAAGTCTGGAACCTGTATTCTTTTCAAGACTGTGGTTGAAAATCCTTTTTTTTACCACAACTTTTAAGGTTATTCTCAATGTTGATTCATTTCCTTATAAAAGTGAAATGCTTTTCAGTGTACCACAGGTGAATACATTTCAAAGTGTAATCATATAAGAAAAAATAAGACACAATTATTGCAATGCAATATTTATATTATCTCAAATAGATAAAAGAATAATATAATGATATAGTCAATTTGTCTAAAACTCTTAAAGGTTTGCTTAGTGTAGAGACTTTAGGGATTAACCAAACACAAATTAATCTTTCTAATCTCTTATGGGATTCATTCAAATGTGATTCAGCATTCCGGATCTGAACACCAAATTCCAAAGTCACAAGACTGGCTCCAAATTGTCTAG